GGCCTTGTGATTAAGGATCCAATTGTTTAGTTAGCTTGTATTGTAAGTTAGCTATATAGTCTATAAATAGGCTAGATTTCTCAAGTTGTTGAGAGAAGTCAATTGTGTTATTCATTTGTAATCATTTGTAAACCCTAAATAAGAAAGTGAATAGAAAACAGTTGCCCAAAATCCTATTCTCCTTCTTTCTTTCTTCTTTATTCATTGTTCACACACACACACACACACACACTCTCTCTCTCTCTCTCTCTCTCTCTCTCTCTCTCTCTATATATATATATATATATATATATATATATATATATATATATATATATATATATATATATATATATATATATATATATATATATATATATATATGTGTGTGTGTGTGTGTGTGTGTGTGTGTGTGTGTGTGTGTGTGTGTGTGTGTGTGTGTGTGTGTGTGTGTGTGTGTGTGTGTGTGTGTGTGTGTGTGTGTGTGTGTTTTCTAACCGTTTCATTGTTCACCCAAGAAACTTCATTTTCTCAATCAAGAATTTGTTAATTGGTATCGATTGTCACAACAAACTGGTGCGGTGAGCATGGAAAAGATGCCGTCAACAAAGTTTGAAATTGAGAAGTTCACCAAAGTTAATGAAATTCACAAGAATGTGTTTGAAGAATTATGTGATCAAGATGGTGGATCAGTGCTGTTGAGAAACAATAAAGCTTGCAAGATTGCAGGTATTAGGTTTGTGATATTCAAGCTCCATGATGAGTCAATAAGGCTATTCACTGGTGTTAGGTATGTACCTGATCTTAAGAGGAATTTGACTTCTCTTGCTGAATTTGACAAGAAAGGATATGTCTTCAAAAGAGAGGAAGGCATCTTGAAAGTCATGAAGGGATCGAAGGAAGTCTTGAGAGACGTGAAGAAACAAGACTTGTATACTCTTGAGGCTGAGGTTGTAAGTGGGTCAGTAGATTTTGCATCCACGAAATTGGTGTCGAAGACAAAATTATGGCACATGAGATTGGACCATGTCAGCGAAAGAGGCCTGATCGAACTGGGGAAACATAACCTGCTAGGTGGTGACAAAGTTGAGAAGTTGGAGTTTTGTGAACCTTATGTATTTGGCAAATCTTGTAGGGTGAATTTTAACAAAGGTAAACAAAGAATACATGGATCCCTTGATTACATTCATGCTAATCTTTGGAGGCCTGCAAGGAATCCTTCACATTTAGGTGCAAGATATTTTCTATCCATAGTTGATGACTATTCCAGAAAGTTATAGGTATTAATTCAAAAGACTAAGGATGAAACTTTTAAGAATTTCAAAAGTTGGAAGGTTCTGGTCTAAACTCAAACTGGAAGAAAGGTAAAGAGGTTTCATCCGACAATGGCCTTGAATTTTGCAATGAAGCTTTCGATAGCTACTGTGTCGAGTCAGAGATTTCAAGGTAAAAGATTGTAGCAGGTACTCCTCAACAAAATAGCCTAGCTGAGAGATTCAATCTAACAATCCTTGAAAGGGTTAGATGCATGTTGGTTAGTTCTGGATTGAAGAAGGTGTTTTGGGCAGAGGTTGTTTCGGCAACAACTTATCTGATAAATAGATGTCCCTCGACTGCCTTGGGAATGAAGACACCTGAAGAATTTTGACCGAGTCAACCACTAGATCTCGACAAGTTGAGAGTATTTGGCTGTTTAGCCTATGCTCACATTAGGCAAGACAAGGTCGAACTTAGAGCTCTGAGATGCATGTTCCTTGGATATCCTGATGGAGTTTTCAGGTCACAAAATATGTATCATAAGTCGTGATGTAGTTTTCAATGAAGTTGAGATGACGTTCAAGAAAAATAGTGATGTTGGTCGAAGGGCAGAAATCTCTGAAGAGGAGCTGGAACAGCTAGAGATTCCTATTGAGGTGGAGCATAATGATGCTGATGTGCTTAACCCAGATGAAGTCGAAGAAGATAAGCAAGATGCTGAAGAGACTGAGGAAAATGTCAATGACTACCTACTGGAAAGAGATAGGTCGAGAAGAGTCATCAAGCCATCTCAGAGACTTGGCTATGCAGATCTTATAGCTTTTGCCTTAATATCTTCAAGTGAAGTACTTGAGGAAGAACCTAGAGACTACAAGGAAGCTATGAGGAGTCGAAATAAGATTGAATGGCGAAAAGCCATGGATGACGAGATGAAATATCTTCATGATAATAACACTTAGGAGCTGATTGAGAAACCTGCAGGGGCTAGGTTAATCATTTGTAAGTGGATTTTCAAGGTCAAGTAAGGAACCGAAAGAGTGATGTCGAAGTGCTTTAAGGCAAGGTTGATTGCTAGGGGATTCATTCAGAAAGAAGGTGCCGACTTTAATGATGTGTTCTCACCTGTTGTAAAACATATATCTATTAGAATGTTGTTAGCCATGGTAGAAAAGTTCGACTTTAAACTTAAGCAGATGGATGTGAAGACAACCTTCCTATATGGTGATCTAGATGAAACGATCCAGATGCGGTAACCTGAAGGGTATGCAGAAAAGGATAAGGAAGATTATGTGTGCAAGCTGAATAGGTCTTTGTATGACTTGAAACAATCTCTTCGATAGTGAAATAGGAGATTCGACAAATTCATGACACACATTGATTTCACTAGAAGCCAGTTCGATCACTGTGTTTACTTCAGCTTTCGAGTTGGAAACTCACTTGTTATTTTGTTGCTTTATGTGGATGATATCCTCATAGCTAGAAATAGTGTCAAGGATATAATGGAGGTGAAAGATGAAATCAGTAAGAAGTTCGAAATGAAGGATCTGGGAGCTGCCATAAGGAATATTGGGATTGACATCCGGAGAGATAGAAAATAGTCGAAGTTATGCTTATCTCAAGAGACATACCTACGGAAGGTTCTAGACAAATTTGGTATGTCGAATTCAAAGTCTGTTGTGACTCTAACAAATCCTCAGTTTATGCTTAGTACTACTAAAAGTTTGAGTACTGAAGCTGAAAGAATCTATATGAGTAGTATTTCATATGCTAGTATAGTGGGTTCTTTGATGTATGCTATGGTTTTTACGAGATTAGGCATAGCGTATGGAGTGAGCCTTGTAAGCATGTATATGGTCAATTCTGGAAAGGCTCACTGGCAAGCTTTAAATTGATTCTCAGGTACATAAATGGGTCTTTGAGCCTAGTCTGATTTATAGTGGAGCCTGTGGTGATGATAGCAAAGTCGAAATCGAAGAATTTATCGACTCTGATTATGCAGGTTGTATGGATTCCAGAAAATCTATTTCTAAATATGTGTTCACTATGTTCGACACAACAATCAGTTGGAAAGCGACACTTCAGAAGGTTGCTGCCTTATCAACCGCTGAAGCAGATAATATTGCCCTCACTAAAGCTGTGAAAGAAGTATTGTGGCTCGAAGGTTTTACAAATGAGTTGAAATTTCAAGGTCGATTTATCACTGTTAAATGTGATAGTCAAAATGCAATACACCTATCGAAGAATTCAGCCTATCATGAGCGAACCAAACACATCGATGTAAGGCTGCACTTCGTCAGAGAGATAATCGAGCGTGGAGAAGTCCAAGTGCTAAACGTTTCGACGGATGACAATGCTACTGATATGATCACCAAGACATTGTCGAGCTGCAAGTTTTTCCACTGTATGCAGTTGATAAAGTTGCATGATTAAAGTTAGAATATTCCCTGTTATTGTAGAGTTTGTTCCAAGGTGGAGATTTGTGAGATCATTGGATCGAACTCTAGTTCTGCCGACTGAGATGTTGTCGACAGGTATAATTTTCAGGTTTCGACAAAGGATAAGCATGAGGTCGAAGATGGTTCACATGTTGATGTCTATGTGTTACATATTGTAGTCGAAGTCAGTTCTAATATGTATTGTCGAAATTATAATGTCGAATTGGGCCTTGTGATTAAGGATTCAATTGTTTAGTTAACTTGTATTGTAAGTTAGCTAGTTAGTCTATAAATAGGCTAGATCTCTTAAGTTGTTGAGATAAGCCACCTGTGTTATTCATTTGTAATCATTTGTAAACCCTAAATGAGAAAGTGAATAGAAAACAGTTGTCCAAAATCTTATTCTCCTTCTTTCTTTCTTCTTTATTCATTCTTCTCTCTCTTTGTTTTAACTATTTCATTGTGTACCCGAATAACTCCGTTTTCTCAATCAAAAAAAGTTATTAATTAACATCGTTTGTCACAACACTTACACTATCAATTAAGTTAGAATCTATGATCTCAATATTTACTTTAAAATTGTACTTTCTAGTAAATAAAGTGTAAAAGTTTTAAATTATTAATTTTCTCTTTGCCGTTATGATGATAAAAGTATTGTAACAATAGTTAATACTGAGTAATAAAGTAAAATTATCATTTCTTTTTGTATTTCTAATATTTATTCAACATATATAAAATAACAAAATATGATAAATATTATACGGAATCATAAAGAAGAATCATCATAAACAAGTCTAAAATAAAAGCTTTATTTATAATATAAAACTATAAGGCAGAAGTAGTTTTGACCACATACTATAACATTTTAGCCAGATATACCCTCTATTTGAGAGAGAAAAAACCCAACTCTTAGATGTAATCAAGGACACTAACTCATGCAATCTATAATTTATTTATTTATTTAAACTGAGAACTAATTAGAGCACACTCCAGCTTCTATATGGTTGATCTTCATCCTGCAACATATAAACAAAATCACATCTCATTATAAAATTAAATATGTAACACTTAGACCTTTAAATAAGTATATGCATTTCGTCGGATTCATATTACTCTCCAACACTAATATACTCAATATCAAAACATGTGATTATATTTAATTAATTAATTTATTAAATCATTAATGTCGACATTTTAGTATCGTATCCGGTAAGATCTGAACTTTCTTTTATATATATTAAATTCCATGAATAAAGTTTAGTGAAGGACATAATGGGAAAGAAATATTTACCAGCAAAAGGCTAAATTTTCATATCATGCCATAGTGATTTAGTAATAAAGGGAACCTTGCAAAACCAAAATATATAAATATAATTAAACCATGAAAATGAGTAATATTGGCATAATGAAAGTGATTAAGTTCATTTTGAATTATTAGTTTTTAGATTATGATTCTTATTCCTACCTTCCCACCAATCTCCTCTTGAAGCAGTGTTTGAATTGTTGCCATTGAAATCCCCATGATTCTTATCTTTCTTCAACTGCAAAGGTCAAAATTAGTATTAGCCACAGAATCATTGCATAAATACTTGATTAACAAATCAACTTGAAATGAAAAAAAGGATGAAAATGATGGCACTCACAACATGGTGGGATTCAGTGGTCCTGTTTCTTGAGGAATAATTTTCTTGACCACCATAGTGGATTGAAGAGCTGAAGTAGCTAGGTTCCCCTGTCACATTCTGATAATTGCTGCTGGTATTCTTGTTACTATTAGAATTTCCTAAAAAGAATCCAAACAGAAACATTACTAAATTAAAGTAGACATATTCAAAGCTATTTTATAGCCATATATGCTTCTAGTGGGTAAGACAAGTTTGACATATATATATATATATATATATATATATATATATATATATATATATATATATATATATATATATATATATATATATATATATATATATATATATATATATATATATATATATATATATATATATATGACAAATTGAATATGTATAGGGAAGTTTGTGGTACATTTTAGTCCCATAACTAAATCAAACACAATTATTGTAAAAGGTTAAATGATCCGAACCAAACTATTGCAATTTACTCGGAATTAACAATTTGTTAAAGAATCTTTATTATATATTTTTAATAAAATTTTTTAACTTGTTATTAACACTTTTTATTTTCAATTTTGATACAATTTAATTTCAGTTTGATTTGTCATTTGGTACGGTTCTATTTTCATGATAGAAATTCAGTTCACTAACCAAACATAATAATTCAATAACTTTAATTAGATTCAATTCTTGATTTGGTTTTAGTTCGGCGGTATTTTTGAACTCAAATAATATATATATGAAAAATTTTGAATCCTAATAATTGAAAATAAAACATTAAAATAATTTATATAAAGTGACGTGACATTTCTTATTTTATAAATCAGTTTTATAAAACTGAGTTAAGACAAAGCTTATAAATACATTCACGGTTTAAAAAGATGACATCCTTTATTTTATAAGCCAGTCATTCAAGTTAGTTTCTCGGATTGAATTTGACAATTTTAATAATAAAGATGTATAAATTATATAATTTACCTAGTGTTCCAAGATTTTTGCTTCCCAATTCTTGAGCTCTTGATCCTCTTCCCTCCACCTTTTAAATAAAAAACAGGTTATGGTGGCATGTGTATTTAACAAAACAGTATAATAGATATTTTTATTAAAAGTCTAATCTTATAAAAAAAAAGTAAACAGGACAGAAAAGTTCAGGTAAAACCCATGCATGTAATATAATGGTAAATAGAATAAAATAAAGCCTTGGTAACAAAAGGAGTTTATAGCCATGCATACATAGGGTGGTGGTGGTGGTGGAAAAATGGAGCCAAACACGGAGGAAGATGAAGTCGGCGAAGACTCTTTGGGGCCGAAAAGTTGATCAAATTTTACAGTTGATGATGAAGAAGAAGACCATGCTTGCTTTTTGTTGGTATCCATTTTTGTAGATATGGTATCAAGCTTTGGGGTCTTTGAAGATGAAGAGGAAAGGGAAAGTTTGTGTGCTATTTATAATGCCAAAAATTATGTTCTATCTGTTTACGCGGAGAATTTTTTATTTAAGAAAAAAGATGCTGTTTGATATCATAAGGTATTAACGAGGAAAGAATCTATGGTTTTATATTTTGTTTGGTCTATCATAAAAGAAACTATGGTTTTATTTTGTTCGTGTTACAAGAATTATTTTTCTTGCATACTATTTATTAAAAAATAGTACTTGCCATATTCGTTGTTATATATCATTTTCGAAAAATATATATGATATAAAAAAATTAGACACATGGAAAACACAAAATTGTCCTTCTTTTAAAAATGAACACACTACTAATATGAGGACATTTAGTGTTCAAAATTTATTTTTTAAAACTAAATTAGCACTTTTACATATGTTGTCTTGTATTAACTATCCATTCTTTTGGTTTAAGTCAAATAATACATGGTTGTCTAAGTTATAGTTTCAAACCAACTATCTAATTTTCATTTCTTTACAAGTTTTGTAACGTAATGCTACTTCTTTTCTCTCTCCGAACTAAACAATATGAAGATTCTACCAACCCTCATTTCTCTTTCCGAACTCATTCTATCTTTCATCTTGTCTCTCTTCTCTCTTCGACTACAACTTCTCATTCATGTCAATTTGGACAATCAACAACATCAATTAATCTGAAAAACCAGAAAACTTTAATTAGATGGTTGTCCTTCATCTACATTCTTCTTGATCTTATATTTTTCAGTATTTTTTTTGTTTTCCATTGTGATTTAATTTATTGCACATTTGGCGGATGACGATCTAGAAGTGATTGCAGATTTTTGAGTTTTGTAGAGATTTCTATAGATCTTCCTCTAACGTTTTAATTTTTAGATTTCTTTTCTATCTTCTTGTGTTGCTTTCTGCTCAGATCTACACTGATTTGTTATTGTTGCTTCTACTGATGAGTTTCCTACTCAGATTTGTTTTGGTTTTTTAATGTTGTGTTTTTCTAAAACCTCTTATCTAAAATCTTTTTCATCTGATACAAGTTTTTGTTGTTGATGTTGTTAATATTTGAAGGTGATGAAGTGGAAGACAATGTGAAAATTCTGATGTGGAAGACAAGGTGGAACCTTTGCAAATAAATGATGCTGAAGAAGGATTGTCAGATATACTGCCTTTAGTTGAAACTCAACTCAATGAAAACTTTTTTCTATTCAATTTGACTCTTCTATTGAAGTGATTGAAGACCCTTTACAACTGCAGTTTCTTTGAAATCTGAGAAGCACTGTTGTTTCAAGACTGATTAGAATAATCTGTTATATTTATGTAGAGTGGAGTTGTGTATGCTATATAGTTCTCTTTTCAAATTGGGCGTGATTTGGTTAACATAACCAAAAAACGTACTAATGTTATTCCCATTATAATGAATATACAAAGGTGTTTTAGTTCGTTAATCTTCCACTTAATAAAAATTATCTGCTTTATAAATCAATACACTTTTGCACGAATCCTTCTTTTGTAATGCAAGGACTCCATCCTTGTGATAAGTGAATATCTGCCAGCGAGTACCAACACATGTTTCAAAGAATTGATTTTTTATTGGTTAGTGATCTTTTGCTTCTCACCTTATGATATCATCCAACAATTAATATGATTAAGCCTGTTATGTTGCATTGGTTGCTATAAAATATTTTTGAATATATTGGATTTGTGTTGTATATAATTCTTTATAGATTGAAACCGACGAGGACACTTGGTGGAAACTAGAAAGAGGGAATAAAGAAGTAGTTACTGGTAGGGGACTGAAGTTTTTGGAATGGTGAATGTGATTAAATAATTTCATTTTAGCAAAGCATCACTGCAACTCTATTAAGTTAGAATTCCATATCTTTTTCATAAGTTTTTCAAATTGTTTAGGTTGTGTTCAAGTTGCATTACATAAAACTTATATTGAAGTCCATGCAGAAAATTCATTTGTTCCATTATAGGCCTATTGTCTACCATTTTATAATTATTGAAATGAGAAAAAAGAAACTTCTTACTTGTAGCATCTTCTTGCATGTATCTTGATTATACTTTTTCCCCCGTTCCTTTGCAAAATTGCTATTTTAATAGATATCGAATAAAGAGTCTGACATGCCGTTGAGAATATGTCCCATGCAAATATAATCATTATTGTCCTATTTTTGTCTTTCTCTCGTTTCAGCAATGATTTCTTTTTCCCTCTCTAATGGTCTTGCAGTGTTCAGAACATACACCACTTTCAATGTTATAAGTAAAAACTTCATCTTTTTTCTGCCAACGGACAAAGTTGTCTCCATCAAATTTTTCCAATTTTACAAAGTTGGATATCATTTCTTCGCCATTGATAAGTAACTTTGATACTAAATATTGTTGGATTTTGTGGTTGTTGGGAATATGTACCAGCACTAAAACAAAGAAGGTGTTGATGAATATATTTCTTGAAAATTTTAAAGTGTGTGAGTTTCACACTAACCTTTAAGATCAATTCACCCCACCAATTATAGTATATTAGATGCAATCGAGATTAACAAAGAATTTCATTCAAGATACTTTGAATTCTTTAATGTGAATTGCACAAACACAATAAACATATCTTTTGATAATCGATTACAGAATGATGTTTGTTAAACTTCACTCATGCATTAATGAAGTGAAAGATGATTTAGAATAAAATATAAATGATAGAGAAAGAGGTGTAAGTATTTTAATTTTTGTGTGTATTCTACTTCTCAAGTGTCTTTATTTATAGATAAGTTCAAGTCATTTGATGAAGAGAAACACCATTTGAAGAATGATTTTTGCATCTGTATAATGAACATGTATATTGTTTGGCATACAGATTCATAACCAAGAAATGCGTTGTATCAGTTAGTAAGGTTGCGCCCTTTTAGTCAAGGGTCGTGTGTTCGAACCGCACATATGTTAAAGATCATTAAAATGAATAAAATTATAGCTTATATAATATTTTGGAAATCATCTACATAATGCCATACTAGAATGAACTAAGCATAAGAGAGTATGTGAAAACAAGACATGATACCATGTTTTTCTGAAAAAGCACGTGCAAATGGTGATGGAAAAAAAACCAAGTAGCAGGATTAAGATAATTGGGAGAATTTCATATATGAATATTATTCAAAAAGAATTCTTTTCGTTTACTCTTGATTCCTTTTGGATAAATAGAATAAGGATAAGCATCCGGGGATAAAACTTGGATAAATTTGGTTAGGGGCCTACTACACATTCCATTCCCTTTTTAAATTATAAACCAAGACAATCACTACATAAAACTAAAACTATAATATTGACGATTTTGACTATAAATAAAATAAGGATAATTTTTCTTTAAAATGCAAGACATTAACCATTTAATTTACATAAATTTATGCACTGTCGTTTTGTAATTATGAAACAATATTACAAAAAAAATTGTGATTAACCAGAGTAAAAAACTCTGGTAACTGAAAAAAAATCATGGATAAAAAGACATACTACCAAAGGCTTATCGACGATAATATGAGCTCTAAGAAACTAGACACTCATCATCATTTCTTATTCATTTGTTGGCTGACATATTCCAAATACAACTTGAACTTAGACATCCGAGTCAAATTTTTATTCTAGTCTAGGGTGATTTTATTGCTAGAACTACAATGAGTTTAAAAGATTAAAGAGAAAAGAAAGTAAAAGATAATAAACATGATTAATTATTATAAACGCAGTTTGGTTAATAATGCATATCATTGTAATTATAGAGCAATTATAACTTCCTTTATTTTTGTCTATTAATTAAGGTTCATCAGAGTATGTTAGAATTTGTTTGACGACATGTATGGTTAACATATCAGTTGTATTTTTTGAAGTATGAACCTTTTCAAGTAATATCTATTCAGATGCAAGTAATTCTCTTTTCTTGTGAAACCTGACATCAATATGATTGGTCCTGATATGATACACATGATTGTTTGTCAAATAAATGATACTCAATCTATCACAATGCAATTGAAATCCACCTTAGTGTACACTCAATTCTCTAACCCATCTTGTAAACCATGGTAAGGCTTCTTTGGAAGATTCTCCCGCCACTATGTAGTCCTCTTTAATTGTAGACATGTTCATATGGATTGAACCCATGATTTCCTACAAATAGGTCCTCATGTTAAAGTGAAGATACACTTATTATGTACCTCCCGTCATCTGTATCACCAGCGTAGCCTGAATTATGATATCTTACAACTAAAGGATCACCCTATTCACTGTCAAATACGATACCACGACCTTTTGTACTCTTCAAGTACTTGAAAATCAATTTGGTTTCTTCTCAATCATGCTTGTTGGTTTGGACAGAAACTTACAAACTTGACTTACAATTTGTGCTATATTTGGTCTAGTCCAGACAATATCGTGCACTAAACAACCAACAACATTGACATCACTACTACTAATAATACATTTTATGATAAAATTTTCACCTCACCCAACAAAAAATCGAGGTATAGTTTCAGGGCGTGCCATGTTTTTTTTTTTTAAATATCATTTATTCCTTCAGTTTTTGAATATAACCGAGGAAAAAACTAATTAAAGACATGCTTTGAATCCCAACAAATACAGTTTATATTTTTATTTCTTTAAAAGTGATGTCTTTCTTTTTATTTTATTTTTTATTTGTAAATTAAATGATCTATCTCTCCAGTTCCTTAAATAACTAAGGGGGTTAGATAATCATATTTTACTATAAAAGTACTCGTTTATTAACTTTTAGCCTTAACCTAGCTCATCTATAGTTGCTCCAAACTCGTACACCATTGCTTTGGGATGGATTGTAAGACACAAAAATTTCAATGTTCTGTGTTGTATGTTGTTCTTCTAACACCAACATTGAACAAAATATTTTTTCAGCTCTTGCAATCTATCTCACATTATGATATTTTTGTTGTTGTTT